ATGCGACGATAAGGACCTGGTAGCAATGGTCCTTATCGTACGCAGTCTGACACCCACCGAACCCTCCCTCCCTCCCTCCCTCCCTCCCTCCCTCCCTCCCTCCCTCCCTCCCTCCTCCCTCCCTCCCTCCTCCCTCCCTCCCTCCCTCCCTCCCTCCCTCCCTCCCTCCCTCCCTCCCTCCCTCCCTCCCTCCCTCCCTCCCTCCCCTCCCTCCCTCCCTCCCTCCCTCCCTCCCTCCCCCTCCCTCCCTCCCTCCTCCCTCCCTCCCTCCCTCCCTCCCTCCCTCCCTCCCTCCTCTCCCTCCCTCCCTCCCTCCCTCCCTCTCCCTCTCCCTCTCCCTCCCTCTCCCTCTCCCCCTCCCTCTCCCTCTCTCCCTCTCCCTCCCTCCCTCCCTCCCTCCCTCCCTCCCTCCCTCCCTCCCTCCCTCCTTCCACGCTTCCATTTGCGTAAGCCCCCTGGAAAATATGTCCAGTAGTGACAGGTTCCCTCTAGACACCAACCGGGGAAAACGGAAACTACGAACGCATGGCATCCTGACACTTTTCAGCCGCGCTGGGCGCGTCGGTGACTCGGCGGCCTGGCTCAAAACCTCAGCGGCTGCAGCTGGTGCCCGGATTGGTGCACGCGTCCCTGTGATCGTAGACGCAGCCTGGCGGCAATTGAGCGGATACACGCCAGTCCCGGCTTCCAAAGAATCCCCTTGCATCGATGGCCGAAGATCCGAAGATTTCAATTGGGCAACTTTGCTTAAGCCCCCAGAATGGACATCCCTATGGGGGACTGTGCGGAAACCCCTCCTTGAAAGCTAACCCAAGGCTTCACAGGGCAGCCCCGGTCAAGAAGCCGGCCGCTGTTTTACAAATCTGGACGAACACCACAGGCGCTTACTGACGGGGTCTAATACCAAGGCCAAATACATACGTACAAAAGCTCCCGAAAATGAGCCCACAAGCTGCATTTTTGATCATAAAAACGGAAATATAGGGATCCCGAATATTCCGAAATAGGTTGAACAACATGTGGACAACCCTTGCAACCTTATACCATCACCTGACACCCTTCCTGTGTGTCAGCTAATTTTGCGACCCGAAAATTTATGTTCGACTTCCCTCGAAGCATCCAAGACAAGAGGTTGTCTTCTTTGCGTGTGTTTATCTCAAAATTAGGGAACCAGCTCAAAAAAGAATGGTGGCTTTCCTCTAAAACCTCAAAGAAGTAAGTATCCTCAAACAATGATCCAAAGCAGGCAGGTTGCGAGGGGCACGTGGGTAATGCTGTCTGTGCCCACCTAGAACAGCACAGTTCACGTGCTGCATAGTCTTCGACGTCCCGCCACAGCAGCAGCATTTTTTTGCTGAGCCTCAGATCTGCAGGCTTCGGTTCCAGAAAATATTCTCTAGGGGTTGATCACAGATGGTTCCCCAGGATGCTCCACCACTCTGTTTTTGGTGCACCGGTCCAGTGGCCAGTTTTCTGTAGAACCCGTCCTGCATAGGTTGTGAACTAGTATTGAGCTGGCTATCTGTAGCGCATGTCCAGCCCTGGACCACGCCCCAGTCGTGCCAACGTGCGCGCGCATACGTGCGGGTGAGAGTGCGCTCGCCAACAGCCTATCAGACGAAGACCGCGTCTCACGCATAATGGTGACGGCGCCGCTTTCGAGAGAGAGAGAGAGAAAACACATCTAACACTAGTAGAATCTCTCTCAGGGACATCTTGCGCGGAACACCTCTTTCCACAGGAGACCACACAGGAGACCTTCTACACCAGAGTGGGCTCCTGTCCAATATAGTCTATTGATTTTGACCACCTAAAAAGTATTTAAATTGCACAAGTCAATGCCCTGCCTCTGAGACTGATTGCTGACTATCAGCGCACTGTTCAATCGAACTGACCGAAATGGACACCTCAAAGCGGCATAACACTTTTGGTAACCGGCAACTCAGCAACTCAGACTCAGAACTTACCATGGCTTTTGTGGGTTGGAACCTGCTTCACATCCTGAGCCTGGTGGAGGATTCCCCACCCCCCCCCCCCTCGGCCACTTCGATTTTTCCAGGTCGCTGGAGTCGCCCTGGCGATCGTCTGTGAGCTCAGCCGTGTCCATGTGATGCTGGTCTTCAGCCTCCTCAAGCAGAACCAGAGAGCCCCCACAAATGAGTTTTGGGGCACGTTTTTTGGGACGAGGATGGTCTGAAGGTCAAGCAGAAGGAAAGACCAGCATCTTTGAACGGTGCGTTTTTTGTCACCATAAGATGATGAGGCGCTTCTGTTTTTAACCTTGCCCGCGCTAAACGTTTAAACATCCCCACAAACCATCTGGGGCCGGTGTGAAGTGTACCTCACTTCCTGGGTGGGTTGGCCAAACAAGGCAACCACACGTTTGGTTCTTAAATTGAATTTCCAGAGAGTTTAAAGTCCAAAGCGGAACTCAGGGAGTTTGGCAATTACCCTGAAAAGCGATAGTTCCCCTAGATTGGGGAGATCCCAAGTTCCAGGAATCCCATTTCTGCTCAGAAAACCGCACACTGAAGGGGAACCAACCCCCTGAATTGCGACAAGGCGTTCTTTGGTTTGGGGTTGTTTAAAAAGAAGACCGGCTTAAAAGAATAGCATGACCCATAACAGTGGCTGTTTTGAGGGTACCCTTTGAGGGTTCTGACCAGACACCCCGAATTTGGAGGGTCCCCACTCACCCCGGAAATCAGGTCAAGCACGCTACCCAAACATTCTGTTTTGCCCATACTCCCCCACAAATTCTGCAAACATGGGACCCAAAAAACCCACCCATTAGCAGAAAGAACCTCCTTTTAAGAATCGGACCCCCTTTTGGGCTCCATGTTAATTTGTAGTGGAGCATCTCCCATCCTTCAGGTCTGTCTGCAGTTTGCGGGTGGCAGTCGAAACTGGGAACAGCAACAGCGCGCAGAGCCTGGAATCATTGGCGAATGAAAAACCGAAAGGTTTCACCCCCTTATGCTTCTTCGTGTCACTAAGTTCCCGAAAAATAGCCCACGGCTTCACGTCGTCAGCGCAATGTGCACACCGACAGGCCAAGTCTTCACTGGCATGAACGTTACTTCCATTTTGTTTAAGCCCCACGTTTTGGCACGGCGCTCCGAACCGTCGCCATCGTTATGTCACGTGCTGTTCGCAGTGTGTGCGCGATGGCTGTGGCGAGTGACGCGCGGTCCACAATGCAAACAAAACCGTGCAAGCCGGGGGTCCCTTGAAGCCTTGGGTTTAAATTGTCCCTTGGGTTTGGGGGAATTCGTTGTCCAAGAGGTTGAGGTTCCGGAGCGAACATCATATAGCTTCAGGAAAACCGTTTCTTTTGCCCAATGCCTACGCTTTCCGGCGGTTCGCTTCAGAGCCCGCACAGGAGTCCAAGTTTTTGCCAGATTCCGGGGGCCATTCACCCGAAGGGAAAGGGTTGCTTAACCATGGCACTCAATATAGAGAAGGGAGGAATATCAAGAATGAATCTTGCACTGGCTTCAGTCTGGGCAGTATCTCAATCGCCCTGTTTTAGTTTCCCGCTTGCGAAACGCTCTGTCACGATTTGCCAGCCGTGCCAGCTCTACGCCAAAGCCAGTTGCCTCAACGTTTCAATTTGGCGTTAAACATGGGCGTTTCAACGTGACGACCGAGAACCGTATCGAACCGTTACCGTACCATAGCGAACCGACAGCGGCGGAATCGTACCGCGCCGAACCGAACAAAAGTTCTGGTCAACCGATGCAACCTTCTTCCTTGCTCCACGCCAGATCAGTCACAGCAGCCCAAAACGAAATTCCGGGTGTTTCGGGCAGTCTTTCTGTTTTCGTTTCAAGGGCATAATCTGGTCACCATCCCATCAGGAGAACCTGCCGTGGTATCCCCCGAGGCTGCAGGTTCAAGTCTTGCTGGGCGTGCTTGCCTGCGAGAGAAAAATCGAAGCTCATCTCAACAAGGAGCAATACTGGCAGTGAATCGTACCGTTTCGCGCCGAAACAGTTTCAATTTCAGGCGATATGAATCAATTCGAAAGAAAATGAATCGTATCGCTTCGGTGCGGTACAACCATGTTAAACATAGGCCTTGAGGCCTGAGTTCGAAGGACTGCATTTGATATCCATCATGGCTGTCAGAAAGTTCGAGAACATCGCTGGGTGCTCATCCCAAAAAATGGAGCTCAGCCCTTTCATACATTGAACACCCCTCCAATCTCCAACAAAATCAAGTGTATGTATGCTAGGGTCCTCTCCGCTAGTACTCCGTTCCCCCTTTTAATAAACGGACCCCAATAAATAAACTCTAATTTTCCCCGACCGCCGGGCCCCCAATACTATTTGTAGAGTAGGCCAACTCAAAACCAATACTAATTTCTCACCCAGACAGGCCCCAGCCTTATGGGTAATTAGTCCAGGACCCGAGCTCCGGGAGTACGTTTCCTTTACTACAGTCATACTACAAAAGTTGTGCTTTTCGGGCCGGGGCTCCGGGAGTACGTTTCCTTTACTACGGTCGTACGACAAAGTTGCGATTGTCCCTTTCAAAGTTTGCACTACAAGCCTTTGAAAAGATCCCCTTTGTCTCCAGGGGGCCCATCAGACCTAAAAGGGCCCTATTAATAAATATGTTTCATCTCCGAGGCTGGTTTACTCTTTTTTTGGGGGTTCCGGTTTTACTATTAGGGGAAAATATTACGTAGCCCGAGCGAGCAAAGAATAATGCTTCCTCACTGCGGCCGGACTGCAAGCGCAGAACGAAGCTGAGCATCATGATGTAAGTCGGGGGCAAACTACGTCTGAACACAAAGCAGCTGCACGCGGGTGATTGTGGCACACTGCCCTGTACCTGGATGATGACGATCCAATCAAAAATGCGGCCGGAACATGAATAGCCCGCTCTCTCACAGCAGGATTGGAGGGGGGGAGGCATGAATGCGAATTCAAACCGGACCAATGAACCTCCTGATTCCAGGCGGAACGCAATGGGTCCTGCCAAGTGCAAGTTTGTCTACCACTTTGATCAGCCACCTTTGACTTTTTGCTCCAATCCCAGGAGCGCGAAGCGAATGACGATCCTTTTCTCTTGCACACGTCCTGCTCCCACGCGCACCAGGCAGGCGCCCTCAGCCCATCTTGCGAAGTAGATGGCGCGATTCCTCCGTTGTGGTCAAGTCATCAGTCATCCCTCACGCGGGTTCAAGGAATCGTGCCATCTACTTTCCTGGTACATTTCTGAGCAAATCGCGATTGTTAAATAGGCCAAACCCCCAACCAAGAACCTTCATCATAAGTATCATGGGTGAGCTGGTTTCATTCCAGGCGAGCGTGTGATAATTTGCCAAAATTATGTCCGGCGTCCTAAGAATGGGAAGCTGCAGGGTTGCAGCCGCCTGGATCGAAGCAAACCAGTTGTTTGTCTACAGCACGTGTTATGGGTCAAACGATCATGCGACGATAAGCTTTATCGTACCCAGCCTAACGCCCACCAAACCTGACCTCCCTCCTTCCCTCCTTCCATTTTGCTTAAGCCCCCTACCAAAAAAATATCCCCAGAAAACGGCAACATATTCTTAAGCAAATGGATGCCTCCTCTCTTCCTTCCTTCCTTCCTTCCTTCCTTCCTCCCTCCCTTTTCTGTTTTATGTTCCTTTCTTGCTTTCTAACGACGATTGCAGGGCATCCTGAAACTTTTTTCAGCCCCGCCGCCCTGCAGTCCGGCGTTTTGCGCGGCGCTCAGCCTCAAAACCCGGCCCACTTGCTGCAGCTGATGCCCGGGTTGTGGCAACTATGCTTGTGCTTATAGCCGCAGCCTGGCGCGCGATCGAGCGATCGGGCAGTCCCCGCTTCCAAGAAGGGCCCTCCCCTTCGATCGGTGGGCTGCAACTCCCAACTGGCCAACGCTGTGCTACAATCAAAGTTGCAAGCCCCTGGAAAAGTACGGACTTGGAGCGTGCGCTGGGCTGGGAGAGCTGGTTCACGAATAGCCCTCTAATCGTGTCAGTAGAATTTACAAAAAGCATACTATTATTAGTGCACAAACCCGACAACAGAAGCCGTTTTGCCTAACCAAAAGCCCGCTGATTGGCAGTTATGAGCCCAAAGGCGGCGAAATGATGGCCCGACGCCGCAATGGCAAGGGCCGTGGGCCAGGTGATGGCCCGGAAAATCAAGAAGGCCCAGCAGCCCCTGAAGGGCAAGATCATCCTGGGACGCTGATGGACGCTGGCCAGGTCACCGAGCCGATGCTCGATGTGACGTCCAAGGAACCGGGCCGGTCGGGGCTTGGAAATGGGTCACTAGAAGGCCGGGGTCTGGAGTTGGTGGGTCAAGAAATGGTGATCACAACGCTCGCACGTCAAGGACACCACCTAGGCGATCGGAAGATACTACGTTCGGGCCAAGGAATTTGTGCCCTACAGCTTTGGCGCCGAGGAACCCCTGGGCATCTGCGGATCCTGACGAAGGAGAACTTCAGTGGAGTGGGGGATCTCAAGGAGAACCGGTGCTCTTCACCAGCAGCTGGAGCACCTGGAGAGATGAGATAGATAGGCCTGGCCTAGTGAGTTTGAGCTCGGCAACAGCTCAGGAGCCAGCGCTGAGAAGGCCGGAAACCCCTGGAGAGGGAAGGGGCGCAGGCGGGCCAGAAGGAGGCGCTCAACATCCACGACCAGATCGGGTGCAGGAGTACCTCATGATGGAGCTACGTGACGCCGGATGTTGAGATCAGCTGAACCTGAGGGACGAGGGCGAGAACAAGGGCCCGAATTTTCAGAGGAGCTGATGAGAGACGATCAAACCTTGGATGGGAATGCCCAGCTCAACATCATCCTGAAGCTCATGGAAGGCATGCAGCAGATTCAGAAGAAGCTTCGATTATTCTGAAGGGCGGCAGCAGTCACGCAGGTGAGGATGAAAATGCGGTGGTGGTGAAATCGGCGGTGGAGCTGCCGACTGGTTGACGATGGTGGGCCCGGTGATGGCGGACCTTTCGGACACCAGCCAGGAATGGTGGGAGTTGATGCTGAAGTACACCAAGAAGTGGTACGACAAGTACATGACGGAGCCACCATTGCAGAGCGTGCAGAGGTTGCTGTTGACCCCAACACCTCTCAATGAGGTGAGCAATGGACGATGGAGGCGGGTGGAGCGTCGGGCGGTGCCTCTGCTCATGAAGGAGGAGCTGATAGCGACCAAGAGCCTGGACGTGTTCTCCCTGATCTGCGGGCTGATGCTGTTGTATCAGCCAGGTGGAGTGGCAGAGAGATCAGCCATCCTCAAGAACCTGGAGCAGCCACAGGAAGGGCTCATCGCATTCAGGCGGCGGTTCAAGGAATCAGGCGGCTTCGGAGGAGGGCGGAAGAGATAGGTTTCTCTTCCAGACCCGTCGGTCCTAGAGGGCTCCAGTGGACGAAGAAGCCGAACAGAGGCAAGGCATGGACCTGGGAGGAGTGCACAGACCCGAAAAAAAAGGAAGCCGGTTTTTGCCTAAGGAACCGCCCATTAGAAGTGTTAGCTTAAGAAGACAAAGAACCGAGTGGGTGGTTCACAAATCAACTTTGGGAGACCTTGAAAAAGCTTAGGGATGTTCATGGACCGGGTGTGGAGTCGTTGGAAACTCCCTTATGTCTGACCTTTCAACTATGCTGATTTGTCCAGGTTTGTAAACAGCGGCCGGCTCCCCGACCACGGCTCTGAAGCCTTCGGGGGGTGCCAAAATACCAACCCGTTTGAACATCTAGTTTCAAATGATATGCTGATTGCAAATCTTGTCCGGCCAAGAAATCCTATTTAAATTATCTTTAAAACTAGAGAAAGAGAGAGAGAGAGAGAGAGGAGCGACCTGCAGCACGCTGCGGCCTAACCCTTGTTTCCCTCCCGGCATCTCAGGGTGACAAAAGCCACTCTCCACTTGTATCTTTAAACTAGAAACTCTTACTGGGGGGTGTTCTTTGTTAAACTCCATTTCAATTCTAAATAGAAAATTGAACGAACACAATCCTAGAAAACGATTCCCCTTAACATGATCTGTCAGATCAATTCTGAGACAAGAATTCTAATTGATGTTTGATGTTTTAATCCTTATCAAATACTTTGAATTCTAAGCAAAACACCAAAAACGCAGCGAGTTTATTTGAACAAGAAGCATGTGTCCAATTCAACTCCTTGAGCAAACGTCTACCAGAAATAAGTCCACTACGAACGCGAGTCAATAAACCCAAAACCCTACACCCTAAACCTGCCAATTCCAAGCTGAGGTTTGGTCAGAAGATGCAAAGCAGCAGCTATGCTGGAGCCAATGGCCCAAAAGTAGAAAAACAAAACAAAAATATGGAGCTGAAAGCCCATAAGCAAAGCGCAAATTTCTGGAGCCAATGACCCAAAAGTAAAAAGTAAAAACAATGCCAATGACCCACGAATCAAAAGTCTAAGACTACATTGACTACCCCCAAACCACTACCCCCCAGAAGCCAATGGAGAAATACAAGATGTATAAGGGTTAGGAAAGGGGTGTATAAGGGTTATACAATGGCGCCTCAATTTGTGGCTGCTGCAGAAACCCGGTAATTCTGGAGCTGCGGCATGTGTTTCATCCGGGTTTGCTGCTATCATTTTTGACGTTGAAACTTGTGAACATCAACGCTTGGTTTGCGCCGGCAGCTTTGTTTAAGGTGAACATCAAAGCTTTGCTTTCTTGGCAGCCAGTTTGGTTTGCTGCTTTGATCATGTCACGTTGGAGGACCGCCGCATCCCCCATTTTGGGGGGAGTGAGTCCCAAAAAGCGCGGTTTGGGGGTAGTGGATTTGACTGGGCGATTTGGGGGTAGTCACGCGACACCGGGTATGCTCGTGAAAAAGATTAATCATACCACTACCCCCATATTGGGGGTAGTTGGGGGCGGTAGCGCGCGGATAGGTGCGGGAGTGCCGGAGTCGGTGTGGGTGGTAACAGCTTTAAAATTTACTTTCGAATACCGGGACAATTGACCACAAGAGTTCGCTAGTTTAGCCACGAGGTAGACCGGCACCGGGCTAAGCCATTCTGAAGGACTGTGCTGGTAGGGACTCACCGATCTAGGGGCCACGCAGCCGCAGGCAAATAATTGCAAATATCAAGCAGTTTGAACGGTCCCCTTGAGAAAAAAATGTGGGCTGTTGAGGGTAGTGTTTTGGGGTAGTGACTTTGGTCTTAGAAAAAGAGGAAATTTCTGGAGCAAACAATCCGAAAGTAAAAAAGTAGGTAAGGAAAAGTACATATCTGGAGCCAAGCCAAAAGGTACGAAAGTAAACAAGTAAAAAGGTATTAAACATACAAATCAAAAGTAAAAGTAAACATGGGAAAAGTAAATAAGTAACAAGTAAACATCGAAAAGCTGAACAAAGCGGAACAATTCAGCCCGTGCTCCTGAAGTAAAATGCTTGACCATGGGCTGAAACATTTTACTTTCGTACTGTTTTACTTGTTTACTTTTGGGTCGTTCTTTACGTTTTCACTTTTGGGCCAATGGCTTCAAGATTCCCTGGATTCAAACTGGATTCAAGACTCCCTGGAAAAGTTTTGCCTAAAGCTTTCAGATGCCCCCAAAAAAGGCAGAAAACGCTGCACATTCCAGTGAATTCCAAAGGAAGGTATATCCCTGCAAGGTGCCATATCTCTATATAAGTACACATGTGAAACATACATTTACATTTCCCAGGTCGTGAGGTCAGTTGTGTTGCTGCCGAGCCTCAGCACGGCAACTTCTAAAATCCCCCCCGAGGAATTTGGGTGATGCACCGGTCAGCAGCTCAATTTGCATGCCAAAACGCCGCTCCACGTCTTTCAGCGGCGGAGAGGAGGCGCATGACACAACAGGATTTCTCCCAGACCCTGAGTTCAGGAGTACTAGGTCGCGTTCACAGTGAGGTCGGGTGACCTCGCTATAATTCAAGTGAATTTGTTCAAAACAATGGACCCATTCAGAGAACGTGGGTTTGACCCACCCTCCACCCCCACCTTCCTCAAAGCAGCGCGTCTGTTTCGTCTGCACCGTCCCGCCACAGCAGCAGCAATGGTGCCCCGAGCCTCAGGGGACGCAACGTGGCTCCCTGTTTTGACGTTCAAAAAAGGCACGCCCCTTCCTCCCAAGGACCGACTGGCAACCACAGGGAACAGACCTGGTTGAGCTGAATGGGAAATCTAGTGGGAATGGCCCTTGTATAGGCCAAACCCACCTTCCTGCGCAACGCTGTCTGAGCCGAAACGCGTTGGTCTCTTGAAAGAATGGTTTCCACCACCCCCAACCCCCCAAACAGACCACAAGCTAAAGCTAAAGCGGTACCCTGTTTTCGGCTAGTTTACAAGCACGTTCTTCAGGCATGGTTTAGGAAGGAAACAATACGGTGGGATAACCTGCAACTTACTTAGTATACAACAAGTTTTCTCTGGAACCAAACATACTATTATCGATTGTTGGATCTCATGATCGGAGCGAAGCGTTGATCGGCCGCTAACAATGTATTGTATTAGGATTTAACGTTAGCGATAATCGGAATCACAACCTAATATCTTTGGATCTCGAGTTTGTATAACCTAATATTGGTGATGATATAAACTTCCCTTTCGTCGATCGATCACGCCGGGTGATAAATGGACGGTTTGACAAAACAAAGGAACTGCCCATAACCTAAGAAAATCCAATTAATCTAGTTGCTAAATGGCAGGATGCGCGTTTCTTTTTTTGTCTTCCTTTGCCGTTCAGGTGGGACCCGCTTGACAATACCTTAAAAGCTCAAGGCATGGATCCAGCTTCCTGCTGCGAGGTCCCAATATTTAGTTCTGTGAGTTGGAAGCCTGGGAACTGCACCTTTGGGTTTGTGATATTTTTGGAATCGCTCTCTTGTTGTTCTCCTCTCTCTCTCTCTCTTTCTCTCTCTCTCTCTGAGTCTTTTAATTTCTCAGTCCGTAGCTCCTGCGTTTGTGTCTCTTTGCACCCCTCCTCATCCCTAGCCTCTGTTACTGTCTGCCCTCAGTCTCAGAGCCCCTGTCCTTGCTGCTGCATGCTCTTGTTTGCGCCTCTCTCTCTCTCTCTCTCTATCTCTCTCTCTCTCTCTCTCTCTCTCTCTCCGCTTTGCTGCGTTGCTTGGCCCCCTTTGTTGTCGAACTTACCAAATCGTTAGACCCTCGCACCTTGCATTGTGTTACAGGTGCTGGCGCGGGGTTGGGAAAACGACTGTTGGCTGCTTGCCAAAAGGAGCCAGTTTTCCCCCAAACAATGTGTCTACACTAAGGGGTTCTTGCGGGAAGGGCAAAGCAGGGTGCTCGATCAGAGCGCTGTTCTGGGCTGGGCGTTTCGCCGGCGCAGGCTCTTGCAAAAGTTCCCGTGCCAAATGTTCATGTGCATCTCGCCGGCACAGGCTCGCACAAAGCGCGTGGCTGACTTTGGATTCCGGAACATGGTGGGTGGATTGGAGCACCGTGCGCGGACTTTGCGAGTGGTGGAGCGCTCTCGCTGTGGCACGGCGCGCAGTTTTGATATTGAAGTTAATCCTTTGCGGGCTTTGGGTGTGTGGGTGCATCAGTGTCGCAATGTGAACATCCAGCGTAAGCTCTCTGCACACTTTGGCCGGGTCGGATCGCTCTCGCTGCGGCGCGGTGCTACATGTGAGCATCGAGGGCGGACCCTCTGTAGACTTTGGGTGTGTCGGATCACTCTATGGCGCGGTGCGGATTTTCAATTTCCTGCAGTGGTCTTAGAGCGCGCTCCCTACAAACGCTCCTTACAGATCTTGAACAGACAGCTTGCCCTGCGGTCTTTTTCTGCGCAAACCTTGCCAAGAGACCCTACACAACAATATGGCGCAAAAATCCCGCAAAGATCCCCATAGATATTTGCGCGTGTCCTTCCTAGAGATCCTCCCAAGAGGTCTCGTGCAGATCCTTTTGGGGGTTCTGCGCAGATCTTGCCAAGAGATCTTGCACAGAGATCCTGCACAAACCAAAAGATCCTGCAAAGATCATTCCAACCCAACGCCATTCTTCTTTAAAAGGGGAAATAGAACCACGATTTCCGCAAGGCGCTGGAGTCGCCCTCGCGATCGTCGGTGAGTTCATCCGTGTCCGTGTGACGCTGGACTTCGGCGTCCTCAAGCAGAACTTGAGAGCCACACAGGTGATTCTCGAGGGCGCGCGAAAGAGGCTTTTTCAAATTTCTTGAGCAGCAAAAAAGGGGGGGTTAGAAGCGTCCATTTGCTTGTTCGTCCCCTGGGGGCAAACCTGATAGAAGCCACGAACCCAAATGCAAAAGATGGCCTTGGGAACGTGCATTTCGTCAACTCGAGCAGTTGTCCAGCTAAAGCCATGCTTTGAGCGACGCTTGTGAGCTTCTGACCAACCGACACCTCTAAACTCTAACATTCAACGCGACACTCGTCAGCGACTTGTGTCACTGACACTTGTGGGCGGCGCTTCTGAGCAAGAGCTTGGGCGACACTTCTGAGCAACACTTCGAGCGACACTTTCACTCAAACACACCCACACACACACACACATGTAAGCGACGCTTCTGAGCGACACTCCTGAGCGACATTTCTACACACATATCTGAGCGAGAAATCTGCTCAATACTCCTGAGCGACACTGCTGACCACACCTCTGAACAACACTTCTGATGCACTTCTACACGCGCATCAGCAACCTTCTGGGCGACACTCCTAAACCACGATTCGAGCGAAACTTTCTGAGCAACACCTCTCAGCGACACTTCTGAGCGACGCTCTGAGCGGCACTTCTGAGCAACACGTCGGATCGACACTCTGGTCGACACTTCTGAGCAACACTTCTGAGCGAAACTGCTGAGCGAAGAGGCGCTTTTGAGCAACACAATTTATCGATGCTTCTGAGCAACACTTCTGAGCAACACTTCTGAGCGACACTTCATGAGTGACACTGCTGAGCAACACTTCTGAAGAACACTCCTGACCGAAACTCCTGATCGAGGCTGCTGATCGACACTCTGAGCGACACTTCTGAGAGAAACACTTCTGAGAGCGGCGACACTTCTGACCAACACTTCTGATCGGCACTCCTGATCGACGCTTCTGATCAACACCTCGGATCGACGCTTCTGGCTGGTATGTGTAGAAGTGTGTCTCAGAAGTGTCGCTCAGAGGTTTCGCTCAGAAGTGTCGCATCACAAGCTGAGCGACACTTCTGAGCAACAGTTCTGAGCGACGCGACAACCCGAGCTACACTTCTGGGCAGAACAATTCTGAACAACACTTCTGCTCGACACTGCTGAGCGACACTCTGAGCGACACTTCTGATTCTGAGCAGACTTCTTATCAATAATGCTGACCGACACATCAAACAACACTTCTGAGCGACACTTCTGAGCCACACTGACCGACACTTCTGAGACTCTTCAGAGCAAAACTTGTGAGCAACACTTCTCGACAACACTTCTGATTGGCAGTTCTGCTCGGCACATCTGATCGACACTTCTGAGCAACACTCCTGATCGACACTTCCGAGGGACACTTCTGAGAAGCACTTCTGGCCGACACTGCTGATCGACACTACTAGTCAAAGCTTCTGACCAACACTTCTGCTCGACACTTCTGATCGACACTTCTGAGCAACGCTTCTGAGCGACGCGAAGTGTCTTAGCGACACTTCTGATCGACGCTTCTGCGCGACACTTCGACACTTCTGATCGATGACAAACACTTGACCGACATTTCTCAGCGACACTTGTGATTGACACTTCTGAGCAACGCTTCTTTCTGATCGACACAGCCGATCGACAAAGTGATCGACACATCTGGTCGACACTTCTGACCGACACTTCTGCTCGACACTTCTGAGCGACGCGACACTTCTGAGCAACACTGCTGAGCAACACTTCTGATCGGCACTGCTGGTCGACACTCTGAGCGACACTTCAGAGTGACGATCTGGGCGATGCGACACTTCTGAGCAACACTTCTGAGCGAAACTGCTGATCGACACTTCTGTGCGACACTTGTGATCGACACGTCTGATCGACACTTCTGCGCGCTGAGCAACGCTGAGCAACACGTCTTATCGATACTCTGAGCGACACTTCAGAGTAACACTTCTGAGCGACGCGACACTTCTGAGCAATATAATTCTGAGCAACGCTTCCGATCGACACCACGCGACACTTCTGATCGAGAAGTCTGATCGACACTTCTGAGCGACACTTTTGAGCTGAGCAACGCTTTTCTGAGCAACACTTCTGGGCAAGACTTCTGAGCAACATGTCTGAGCAACACGTACTTGTGATTGACACTTCTGGTCCACATTGCTTGTCGACGCTTCTGATCAACACTTCTGAGCAACACTTCTGAACAACACTACCTTCTAAAAGGCATATAGTTTCGAGCAAGAGCAACACTTCTGATCGACACTTCTGAGCGATTCTGAGCGACACTTCTAATCGACACTTCTGAGCGATTCCGCGAAAAGTGCTTTTTTGAAGCACACGAGCCGATTATACCACAGGGCCAACAAAAACAACGCTCGAGCAAACGCTTGCATGCGCATTCCAAGCAAAACACCTCAAAACGAGACCTTCTGAGACACGAATCACGATGGATTTGCAATGCACACATGAAACCTCACGAAACACTGCGCATGCGCAGCGAAACGACATCGAACATGCCAACAGCTACCATGAGCTAACAAAAACCACACATCGCAAGTCATCCAAATTACGCGCTCAACGCCTTCCCCAACGGCACGGCGACGAGCCGACCAACGCGACGCAAACAAGGGTCCACCCGCCAGAACCCTTCGCTACGCGTTCGGGAAAAACAAATCTAGCCCGGCGAAGGGTTCCCCTGGGCATTGTTCCCCGACAGCACAGTCTCCCCCTCCCCTCACCTGGATGCTTCACGCACACGCACGAAAACCATCCACGCAGAACATGCCCCGCGAGCCACCTTACACGCTGCTGGTTGCGCTGCGCAAGTTGCTCTGCGCGCGTTGCTCCGCGCAAGTGGCTCTGCGCACGTCGCTCTGCCCAAGTTCCTCTACACACGATGCTCTGCGCAAGTAGCTCTGTGCAAGTTGCTCTGCGCAAGCTGCTCTGCGCAAGTTGCTCCGCGCAAGCTGGTCTGCGCAGGTTGCTCTGCGCAAGTTGCTCTGCGCACGTTGCTCCGTGCGAGTTGCTCTGCGCACGTCGCTCTGTCCAAGTTGCTCTGCGCAAGTTTCTCTGTGCAAGTTGCTCTGCGCCAAGCTTCTCTGCGCTAGTGGTGCAAGTTGTTCTGCGAAGAAGTTGCTCTGCACAAGCTGGTCCAATCAAGGGCTGCGCGCGGAAGAGCCCTTCAAGATGTTTTTCTTCCGCCCGAAGTTTGACATGGGAAGGCAGGGAAAGATGCAAAGGAACGAACTGTTCAACACGTTCTTTCCCAGGCGCACTCAGACGATGGCCTGGGGATGCCTGGGGCTTCCGCAACTACCAGTAGCTCACCCTAAGCGCAGGGGCGCACTTAGTTCCGAGGATTCGCCGGTTCTTTCCCAGCTGTTAAACAATGATGGGCGCTGGCCGAGGAGCAGGATACCAATTCTAAGGGAAGTCGGACAAACTCGCGCAACATCGGAGTTTCTCAAAGTGGACCCCGTTCTGGTTGAAATTGAAAACGAAACCAAAAGCAGCAAAGCAAACTAAATAGGCTAAGGGACCCCTATTCCACTGGGCTTGCTTCCGCACCATCAAGCATCAACAAAGTGCCACCAAGTGCGCGCAAGCCTTCTTCCGACGCCCAACATATTGCAAGCTCAACATTGTACTAGGGGGGGCAGATGTCATGTCGCAGTGCTTCTTGTCGTGGGCTGCTCCGCACTTGCATGTTTAGGGCTTCGACCGTAGCTGGGTATCTCGGGCCTAGACTAGCGAGACCCAAACTTGCAGGAATCCTTCTTTGCAGCAAACCGCAGGGATTGCAGACGCTGTCTGTTTCCCTTCTGGGGGTTCTAGCCAGGCACCACACATTTGGAGGCCCCCCAATCGACCATACTCCCTCACAGATTCTACAAGTTCACATGGAATCCAACACGCCCACACATTCGAGGAGGAACCTCTTTTGGAAGTCGGACCTGTTTAGGTAGACCTCGATTTTCATGGGCTACGACCCTTGCGCGCAGTGTCTCCTGCAGGGTGCGGGTGGCAGTCGAAACTGGCAACAGCAACAGCGCGCAAAGCCTCGGATCACGCCGTTCTGGGATTTGGCGAATAGGAAAACCCAAAACAAACCCCTGCCTCATGCTTCTCCGCCCCCTGGAAAATGAGAACATATGTTCGGACGTCAGCAGGCTCTGGGAGCTGTTTGTCAAATTTGCCGAAGCGAATCAAGTGGTCGTTCAAGTATTTATAGAATGGCCAGAGGACGTGTTCATAGTTTCAATGAAAGGGAATGGCGTGCTTCCAATTCTCCAAGACAAGCTCAGAAGCTTTCTCTGCCCGAACAGAAATTCCACAGTTTTCAATCAAATCTAGACAGGAGGCCAGTTCTCACACAACATGAGTTGCACAGCTACGTATCACATATTCCGCCAACACACTTTTGTCGTCTAGCATTATTAGAAGTAGCTAGCTGTGAGGGAGATAAAGTTTGTTCACATCGATACCATTTGCTGGGCTAACGCGGCTTGAAGCAAATTCACGTCAGCTGCCATCATGGGCCGGCTTGAACGGTTCAGAACCATTCCTAACAAAGAGTGAGGAACGTCTTCAAATGGTACAGGGCTGTTACGGTCGGTGCGGTTTGGACCTAGCTATTCCTAGAAAAAGGGCAAAGTAACAACAAACAAATCAGAGCTGTTCTGCACGGTTTAGAGCGGTTTCTGATGCATTCCTGAATCTACTGGAGCTGAAAAATGTTGGAAGAATCTTAGAGCGGATAGAGCGGTGTGCCTTCAGCTGCTCAGGGCGGGCTCCAAAATCCAACAAGCCAGAGCTACACAACATAGCAAGCAACATGCGATGTGCAGGAAAACTGTCAGAAATACAATAAGTGAATCAATACGAATAACATCGACGTATCATACTCCCATCATATCATCACCTGGTGCTGCAGAATGCACATTTGGACGGGTGAATGGGGCCAAGTATCCCGATGCAGCTGGATCAAGGGTACGGTACGGTGTGACTGCCAGAATTGAGCTCCGGTTCAAACACGCAACGCGTGGAGGGCTCTTTGACGTTTTGGAGCAGAAGGCTTGGCCGGCTTTTGAAGCCGCCAAATTGAGTGAAAGGCGCGGTCCCTGGGACCATTCCTTCACGACGTAAGAGTCGCCAGCTTGGGCAGCTAGCTATCGCAAAGGATACGGTGGATTCCCTAAACATTGCAATGACTTGAAAAATGATGTAATTGTAAAATTAGATTGTCCACTCCAGTTAGTCCAGTTCAACGTGAAAGGGATCTGCAACCGTTTCTCTTGCACACAATCTTCGCTGCGATAAGGAACAAGACGGCAGACTGTAGACTGCAGACTGTGAATCCTTAAACGCCATGCGGGCAAGGATGCAATGCGGGCGTGCCGGGACATGTTTAGGCAATGGCAAGTGGGCCATCAATAGCAACTTGGCTGGAATTAGGACCCCAGCAAGAAATATCTTGTTTGCCTGGCTAGTGGAAAACAAAGGGGACCCCAAAAAGCAAAAAAGCAAAAGGGGGAGGGATGTGGCTTGTGCAAGCAGGACAAATGTTGAGCGCACCTTCTGATTGCGCACAGCTTAGCGATCGCGACGTTGCTGCAGGGCGTCCGTCACACTGCTAGACTGGTAAACCGATAGGTTGATGTCATAGCAAAATGTGTTTGATCGTTTTGGGGAATGTAATTCACTTTACACCTGAGCCACGGACAAGATTACTTGAAGTTGATGGACGTGTTGTCTGTTGGTCACATGGCCTGTATTCTTGGAGCTGGGGGAGAGCGCTGAGCAACATGTAACACGCAAGGCAATTTCACACAGCCTGAAAAGCCGACATGTGTTATATAAATAGCTCCATTGATGCTATAAACATCAAACTCGATGCCTATAGGTGTTAGAAATGGGCCTAGGTCCAAAATGGTTGAGGTTCCGGAGGAAACATCAGACTTATAGCTCCAGGTCTTCTGAAGCTACGCCTCAGAAAGCGCAAAGACAAACACTGGTTGGACGAAACCAAAGGCAACCTTGGGCGGATCTGGGTTTGTCGTTCTTGAGGGCACCAATTTCGGTTTGCAAAAGGAAACCGAAAAGAACGCCACCATTTTGGGGTCCCCTTGGACAAAGGCACACCCATGTGTCATAGCGCACCCAAAAAAAAACAAAAAAACTTGTGGGTCATGGTTGGTCGCGAAGGACCAACCACGAAGTTCAAGCGTTTGACACATTCCGAGGGCCATTCCTATCGAAGGAAAAGGGTAGGAACACTTGGAGCATTTCTGCCATAGGCCAAATCCAAACCGTGCCACATTACTTGGGTTCCAATGAGTCTTGCGCTGCCTTCTGCAGGCGGTTTGAGAAGCTCGCCCTGTCAAACTTCCAAAAGGCAAGAAAAACAAAAGGCTTCGAGACTGGAGTCCCAAGGAGAATCTGACTTCCTGAGTAGACTGGCCGAAATAAGTCCCAACTGTTTGTTCGCCACTTAATTTGTCCAAACCCATAAAAAAATGGTCCATGAACTCAGGGAGCGAGGAACCATTTTTGGAACAGCGCTATGCATCCCTGGGATGGTTGACAGGCTCGACTGTCAGGTGTCGAAGTGGGAGTTTGGTGGCGAGTTCAGCCCTTTGATCTGGCAACCTCCAGAACTAATCGTCCATTTGCTTAAGCCCCGGAGAAGTTCAAGAATTTCCAGTAGTGAATAGATCCCTTTATGAAAATCTATTTGGCCGCTTCGGAGCGCCTTATTTTCTTGAGCCAAAACACGTCAGTAGTCTCAACTGTACAACTGTATATGACAACATGCGTATTGGGCTACATATTTCAACACTCCTCCTTGCTGGAGGGTGCTTGATCACCCGCACAGCAACTATACAGTGCGGTAGTCGGAGCCTGGACCAGGGCCTTACGAATCTAGAAGACTCATCTGGCCTTTACTCTTGCTTTGAAGAAACACAAATCCGGAACGATTCATTGTGTCCTTCATTTGGACTCCGGGTACTGACTTTGTCAGCACATCAGACCTGTTCCGCTTGCCTGGTATGTGTTCTACCTTTAAATGGTTCATCGCCACACGTTCCTGTAACCACAGATAACGAGTTTGAATGTGGCGTGCCTTTCCCAGGCCTACTCTATTAACCGTGCCTTTGGCTGCGGTTGCATCAGACTCTACTAGAACCTCTACCTCAACTCCAAAGTCTTGAAGGAGGGATTGAAGTCCTAATCCTACAGAACCGCCTTTCACTAAAGCGTAATACTCACTCTCTCCAGTGCTCAATGCTATCGTCGACTGGACGTTGCTTGAGTGCTTCAGTGTATGGCTACCATAGAGGGCAACCATGCCTGTAGTGCTTCGCCTAGTGACAGCGTCTCCTGCATGGTCAGAATCAACCTGTATACGGACCTTCGAAGGTTTGGCTTGTCTCCCAAACACTTGACAAAGATCAGGATACTTCAGCAAATACCTGCACAGTCTCTTCAGGTCTTGCATCGCCGCCTCGGTCGGGGTGACCATCTTCCTTGAAAGATTCTTCACAGCGTGCGAAAGATCAGGACGATCTTGACTGAGGTACGCTGCTCGCATCACACTCGACCTATAAAGTGAAGCTGCTTCTCGTGCCAACGGAGGGCTGTTGCCTCCAAAAGCTGCTGCTCCACGGACTTCTTGATGTCTGGGGTCTCAGTGCCCTTCGCGTTCACCATTCCCAGATGTCTCACCAAAAGTTCCACATGACGGCGGTCAGGTTCCAAGAAAACCGCTGATTGGCCTTCGTGCATGCCAATGCGGATCAGACGATTCAAGAAATGTGCTGCGCGATCATCTCCATCCTCGTCCCCCAGCATTCCGAGCCGTTTCAGCTCGTAGGCACTCCTTAGAGTGGACTCCAGCTCATCCAAAGCTTCTTGATCACCAAGCGCAAGAAAGTCGTCTCCATGAACCAACACTCTGCACCCTGTGCTCGGCTTGTAAAAGCAGGAACCATTGCTGCGGCCACGCCGAAACCCATGCTTCAAAAGAAGTTGGGTATAATGGTCTTGCCATATTGCTGGCGCGTCTTGGCAACCATACATGCTCTTCTCCAACAAACCACAGAAGCCTTCTTCCGCGTCTTCTGGTGGAAGCTCCACATATATGCGTCGCTTCGGAACTCCATAAAAGTGCGCTCGACTTATGTCCCAGAGACCGAGCTTCAGTCGCCGGCCCTTGGCTGACACCCGGTCTGTTGCCCAGGCACTCAGCAAGTAGCGCATTGCCTCCAACGGCGGCGTTGACGAGAACAGGAGGTTCTGCGGCAACTGTTCTTCCGGCTTCTTAGCTGCCTTAATTTCACGGGCAACTAATCTAGACCGGTAGTTGGGCTTTTCAGGATCTCCTTTGTTCGTGTCTAACCATCTCACCGTGATTGGACGAAGTCCCTCTGCGTAGCATTGTGTTACCGGCACCTTCCGGTAAACTCCTTGCTTCTTGAAGTAGTCCATCTCAAGAGTTCTGGCCTTCTTAACTTCTTCCGCTGGTAGAAGTCCTCCATTCACATCATCCCAGTACTCTTCAATGTAGTCTGCTGGAACAAAAGGTTCCTCACAGATTGGCCCTGATGTATTCGACTCCATTGAGTTAAGCTCACCCTTCTGTACAAGATAAGCTTTGACTGTCCGAAGGACAGCTTTGACCAGCGCAGGTGGGTACCTGGCGGCCTGTTTGGCAATTCCACCAATAAGGTGTACATGCCTGTGCCAGGGATCTTTCTGCACTCACCTTCCAAGAGCTCAGCAAGCTCCCGGCTATTAGTGAGCCAACCGGTCTCCTTTCTCACATAGCCCGTGCCTTGAAGACCACGGCGGTCTGTCGCCATCATCCCCATCGGCACATCGGCCCTCGGACCAAATATGTGTCCGGGCGATCCGTCAGTTCCTTGACTTCAGGATCTTTCCACGAAGTGGCACTCCAGGGCGCCTCGTGCAAGAACAGGCGTCCTGCAGCCAGCTGCTTCCTATAGAAGCTGCATGAGTTGTGCAAATGCTCCAGTGCTTTATCCATACGGATCTTACGC